GGAAAGCAGATGGTCAGAGAAAAAGAGAAGACCCTCAACAAGAGAGATTGACATAGTGACTACATCAATGGGATCAAGCATACCAACAATCGTCAGGATGGGACAAGACCAGGCAGTGTTTCATTCTGTTGTACATGAAGTCACTATGAGTGAAAAACAACTTGAATGCACCTAACAACAAGCTCATCTCTGGCCCCCTCAATAAAATGCTGTGTGCAATTCGATATTTGTTTTATGATTCATAAAATGATGTTTGGGAAAGTATTTAATGACAGTCTCTGGGACACCAGAAAACCAGAACAGGTTTCTTATTGGGGTATAGTATGCCCTAGTTAACAACATCTGACCTTGAGTTCTCACCCCATATCTTGCTGAATGGCCTCTGGCAAACAGCTTTACTTCTCTCTCTCAGCCTCATTTGTCTCAGCTGCACAATGGGGGTAATTATTGGTGAAGTGTAAATTAAATCAGCTAGTGCTGGGAAGGACTTAGCAGAGTGCTGGCATGAAGTAAGTGGTCAATAAATTGACCAGTAAGTGATCATCATCATTATGATTATTCATATATTAATTTTGGGGTAAATAAAAAGAATTCAAAAAAGTCTTCAAAAAATTAGTGAGTTTCACATACACAAAGTACCAGTGACTTTCCTCTGAAGAGTCAGAAATAACCACTCCCCAGGTGACCCTTGCAGGCCTTCCTAAAAGGCTCACCCACTTGCCATGGGGCTTGTCAGTCCCTGGGTTCAGATACTCCACAGAAAGAGGAACCACCAAACACCAGAGACTTCTACCTGCCAGACTCTGTACCTGGCAGTCTTATGTTTCTGAGCCTTCAGCTGGGGAGGGATGGGGGAAAGAGAGGGAAAGGTGGGAAGGGGGCTAGAGAAGAGTTTGGAACCCAGTCCAGGCCAAAGTCTTTTTGTCTGGCTTGGAAATGAGTTTCCATCAGTTACACCTGCTCCCATCCTCTGGCCCAGATTTCCTTTCACCAATTCTACTGATAGAAATCCAACATGCAATAAACACCTATTGTTTGCCTATTGCTAATACAGCTGTCCTGAAACATGATAACCTTTAAGGCACTGGTTCTCAACTGGGGCTATTTTTCCCTCCTCCCACCCCTCATAGAACATTTGGCACCATCTGGAGATATTTTCTATTGTCCAACTTGGCGAGGGTGGGCTGGGTGGATGGATGGTGTTTCTGGCATCTAGCGGGTAGAGGTCAGGGATGTTGCTAAACATCCCATAATGCACACACAGGGCAGTCCCCCATAACAAAGAACCATCCAGCTCAAAATGTTCATAGTGTCTGTCATGGATTGAATTGTATCTGCCAAAAATATATGTCATCTTGGCTGGGCCATGATTCTCAGTGGTTTGGCAGTTATGTAATGATGTCATTTGGCAATTATGTAATGATGTCATATCTTTCTCTATGGTATGATCTGATGTGATCAGCCAATCAGCTGTAAAGGGATTAAGGTGGGATGTAATAACCTTAGTCAGGGTCACAGCCCTGATACAATGTAAGGGGAGTTTCCTTGGGATGTAGCCTGCATTACCTTTTATCTTACAAGATATAAAAGGAGAGAGGAGCAAGTAGAGAGGAGGGACCTAACTACCACCAAGAAAAAAGAGCCAGGGTCCCTGAACTGATAACCCGCTGGACCCAGGGGAAGATTGATACCAAGACACAGAGATCGCCAAACAACAGCAGGCCCACAGATGTTGAAATGAGACAAGGACTTTCCTCCTAAACTGTGAGCTGACAGAGAGAGAAAGTCATCCCCTAGAGCTAGTACCCTGAATTCAGACTTTTAGCCTTCTAAACTGTGAGAGAATAAACTTGTTTTTTAAAGCCATCTGCTTGTAGTATTTCTGTTATAGCAGCACTAGGTAACTAAGGCAGTGCCTAAGTTAATAAACTCTGCTTTAAAGCAGTCTCACACACTTAACTCACTAAACCTGCTGCCATCAAATCAATTCCAACTCATAGCAAACCTTTAGTACAGAGTAGAACTGCTTCATAAGGTTTCCAAGGCTGTACATCTTTACAGAAACAGATAGCCTCATCTTTCTCCCTCAGAGAAACTGGTGGGTTCAAACCCCCAAACTTAATGGTTAGCAGCCAAATGCTTTAACTACTACAGTACCAGAGCTCCTACTTAACTCAGTAAGGTCATCAAATTGGTAGTTTGCCAGATGCCATGGATTACAAAGCCCTACCTCGAATGATTATTTTTTCATTGTTTGTCACTTATGTTTATACAACCTAGGAAAATAATAAGTACTTCCAAGATTTTCTTCTTTATTACTTGTTGCCATATGAAACTGCTATAGCTTGTTTAAGACACTCTCTATGGACATCATAATTTCATTCATTCATTCATTCATTCATCAATTCATCAGTCAGTTAACACATGCCCATTGATCCCCCTCATACACTGTGACAGGCTCTAGAGATGGAGGAATGAATAGACAAAGTCTCAATGCCCAACCAAGCTCAGAGTGTGTGTCAGAAGGGTGTGTATGCATGTGGGAAAGACAAATATGCTGATAAATAATTACAATATTGTTCCAAGTAAAAGTCCTCATGGGATGGGGGCAGAAGAGGGGGAAATGTGGTCATTCCTTCCCATGGAGTCCTCAGAAAACTATCCTCATCAGCCATTATCATTTTTTTGTTTCCCTCTGCAAGAGACCCTCCTAACACATCCTCTGATGGAATAGTGTATGTGTTAGGGGGTGGGGAGCAAAGGGGGGCTGTAATAATCAGTTTGGCCTTAATAACTCACCATTAGCAGGATGCCCATGATCTCCTTGAGAAGAGGGAGAAGCAATTTTTTAAAAAAGAAATTGTATGAACACCTTTACATTTCTTAATCAAGTATCTGACACCCAGAGTCAAACAAACAGAAGGAAAGCAGGGTTTCAGGGACTGGGAAGTTTTCCAACCAAAGTAGGTCAATTCTATGTCTATTTATTAGAGGTGCTCTCTGTCAAGAAGTGTGAGACACAACCTCTGGTCTGGATAAGCCCAAGAAGTAACCAGAGGACCAAGACTTATATATAGGAAACCATCTCGTAATAATACAAGACAGTATAGGACTGTTTGAAAATTTCATGCAAAAAAGAATATGCAGGACAGAGCCCCAGGTGGTTGGGAATTAAGAGGTCTGGGTTCTAGTTCCAGTTCTACTACTGATTGGCTGATCTCTCAGCTGGGAGAGTTGAAAGGAGGGAGCTATTGCCTCTTCCACCACTGGGCACTGAGTAACAGTGAATAATACCTGTAGGCTGTATTTGAGGGGTAGGTCAGTGGTAGAATTCTTGCCTTCCACGTGGGAGTCTCAGGTTTGATTCCCAGTCAGTGTTTGTCAGTTAAGGATTGTGTGTTGCTATGATGCAAAACAGATTTCAGCAGAGCATCTAGACTAAGATGTACTAGGCTTAGTGATCTCCTGAAAAATCAGCCAATGAAAACCTTTCCCATTCTGCATGGGTTTGCCATGAGTTGGGGGTAGATTGGATGACAGCTAACAACAACAACAACAGGCTGTACTTGGTTTAAATTATCCCAAATGTCCCAGAAGGCATTCCCCAAAATCAGCAGTTCAGTTCTAACACTACTACTGTCACTGAGGAGAAGAGGCTTCAAGGTACAAGGGAGTTGGGGGTGAGCCCCAAATTCCATTCTTCCAACCTAGTGCTGCTGGAATGTCATGGAGCTGCCAGAAAGATGGACACCTCCTGAGCATCAGCACTGACATCCAGCTGGGGAGCTAAAGTTGTCGATAGAATCAAACAGGAGAGCCCTATAGAAAGGCAAGATCACTGGACACCAGCAAGAACCTACTCTAGACAGAGCTTGGAGACTCAGAATTGGGTTTTCATGCACTTTTCTTGCGGAACTTCTTAGGACAGAGGTCTTAGGGGCCAGATTGAATGCTGGTGGGAGGGGTGGTTCTGCAATGTGTCCCTGGTCCCTTCTAGCTTGGCAGTCTCAGTACAGCCCTCTCATTCACAAATCCCAGAGGGAGAGGCCAGGGGTTCCCAGAAGTTTCTGTGGGAAAGTAAAACCACCCACTTTGCTGTTTTCTCTTTTCTCTTCAGTCCCCTACCCCCGGCCTCATTTGTGGCAACGAACTGCTCCCAGGAGCCCCCAGATAAACCGACATTTGGGACCCAAATCCCTCAGAAGAGAGGAGCAAGGAAGCTGAAAAACGGTCGTCCCATCACAGATTCACAAGCTCCAGGCAGGGCGTTGGGAGGTCTATGCCCCAGTGCATGTGAAAATGTCAAGGCTTTGGAGCAGAGAGATGCGCGTTCCAATCCTCTTATCCTGGCATGGGGCAAGCTATTTGGCCTCTCGGGCCCTCAGTTTTAGCGTTATGATGACATCGGCCTCGAAAAGTGATTATGAGGTTTCAATGAATTAATGGAGGCAAGGTGTCCAGCACAGAATAGGTACTGCCAGAGACCGCTCCAGAATTTCCCTCCAGGTAGACTCAGAGGCGCAGTTTGGAAGGTGGGGTCCGAAGCAGAGCTTTGTTGTTGTTGTTGTTGTTATGTGCCTTCGAGTCAAACCTGACTCATAGCGACCCCTCCTTGGGTTTCCGAGGCAGTATCACTACGGAAGTAGGATTGCCCAACCTTCCTTCCGAGGAGTGGCTGGTGGGTATGAACCATCAGCCGTCTGGTTAGCAGGCAAGTGTCTTAGCCACTATGCTACCAGAGCAGAGCAAGGGGACTTATTAAAGCTGCCTTCATCTGGCACACACTCTTTTCTTTTGGGGGAGGAGTTCCTCTGAAGAAGAGCTGATAGAGATTATTTCAGGGGCTGGAGGAGGGGAGAGAAGTAAAGACTCTCAGTTGAAGATGTGCTGGCCCTCCTCCCCACCATTCCGCGGGGGAACGTAAAGAGGGCAAGACCCTCTGGCCCTCTGCCCCTCAGCCTGCTGGGTAGAGGGCACCCGACGAAGGGACAAGTACTCACAAGGTGCGCGGCGCAGACTAGCAGCAGAAGCAGCGAGGGCAACAACGGGTGGTGGCGCATGGTGCCTGGTGTGCTCCTCCGGCCGCGCCCGGACAGTCCTGGGTCTGTGCGCTCAGCGGGCTCTAGAGCTCAGCTACCCCCTCAGGGTCTCTGGCACCTACCGGACACCGCGCCGTGAGAAGCCATGGCTCGCCCCGGGACTTGCGGCAGGCCAGAGCTGCTGCTCTTTGGGGTGGTGGCTGTGCTTTCTAAACTGCCCGGCCCATTGATAAGGACGCGGAGGCTGCAAGCGCGCCTCCACCCAGTCGGACTGGCTGGGGCATACGCGCGGAGGCTGGCAGGGGAGGAGGCAGACAAAGGGAACGGAACCTGGAGCTGGCTCCCGCAAGCTCTTCCCGGCGGAAGAGACCAGGAGCGAGCACGCTGGCGAAGCCTCGGAGGCTGTCACCCGCAACCAAAAACCTGTTGCTGTGGACTTGATTCCGATTCATGACGACCCCAAGTGTGACAGAGTAGAATTGTTCCATAGGGTTTTCTGGGCTGTAACAGAGGCAGATAGCAAGGCCTTTCTTCAGCGGTGCTCTCTACTGGGTGGGTTTGAATGGCCAGCCTTTACATTACTAGCCAAGAGCAAACCATTAATGCCACTCAGGGACCTACACCCTAAGCAGAGGCCCTAAAATCTGCAAAGAGTACTCAGACCTAAGTTCTTGGTCAGCCCTACCATGACTATGCTGGGTGCTCATGGGAGACTTATGCTGCCTAGCTGCCTCAGTGGCCGAATCCCTAACAATGCATTTATAATACTCACATTCCAGTTAAATGGGTTGTGAACTAAACAAAAACAAAAAACAAAATCACTGCCATCGAGTCAGATCCAACTCATAGCAACCCCTCCTTGGGTTTCTGAGGTGGTATCAGCATGGAAGTAGATTGTTGTTGTTGTTGTTATGTGCCGTCGAGTCAGACCTGACTCATAGCGGCGACTCCTTGGGTTTCCGAGGCAGTATCACTACGGAAGTAGATTGCCCCATCTTCCTTCCGTGGAGTGGCTGGTGGGTTTGAACCGCCAGCCTTCTGGTGAGCAGTCAAGTGCCTTAGGCACAACGTCACCAGAGCTCTGGGTTGTGAACTAGTGCCTGTTAAATAGGAAAACCAAAAACCCAAACTCACTGCTGTCCAGTCATTCCGATTCATAGTAACCCCTCCTTGGGTTTCTGAGGCAGTAAGGAGCTCCCGTAGCATACTGCCTCGGAAACCCAAGGAGGGGTCACTACGAGTCAGGTCTGACTAGATGGCAAATAACAAAAACATCACTATGGAAGTAGATTGCCTAACTTTCCTTCCAAGGAGTGGCTTGTGGATTTGAACCACCTGCCTCTGGTTAGCAGTCAAATGCCTTTAGGCACTACAGCAGAACTCGTAAATAGGAGCTGTTCAGTAAATGCCTAGTGCATCTTTTCATTGGGGCCTTACATTTCATTTCTGATTTTCACTTCGTTTTTCTTTTTATTAATGTCATACACATTCACTCCAAAAGTGTCACTCCCATGAGCACTATCAAATAAGGAAGAAATTCTGCTTGGTAATGGGGGAGAGTGCAGAGGTTCATCTGGTACGTTAAGTCTTTGGGAGACTGCACTGAAGATGAATGGCCTGGAGGGTTTGAGCTTTCTAGCATCCCTGGGAGGTGATTAAAGCATCAGCGAGATATTCCTGGTAGTCTTCTCAGCTGGAGTCTGAATACTCAGAAGTCCTGAAGGTTTTCATTGACCTCTCAGTACAAGGTACTCCAAATACCTCTTGAAGATCTAATTTTTTCTTTCTTTACAATGGTGACCACTCCCTTTACTCTCTTTCTATCCTGACCTCTTTCCTAGACACTTTAAGTACATTAAGGAGCTCATTGACTGCTAATCAGGAGGCTGGTGGTTCAAACCCACCAGTCACTCCTTGGGAGGAAAGTTGGACAATCTATTTCCGTAGTGATACTGCCTTAGAAACCCAAAGGAGGAGGGGTCACTGTGAGTTGGATACGACTCGATGGCAGTGGGTTTGGTTTTTGGTTTTTGGAAGGAGTTCTGGTGGCATGGTGCCTAAGGCACTTGATTGCTAACTAGAAGGTTGGCAGTTCAAATTCACCAGCCACTCCGAAGAAGAAAGAAGAGGCAATCTACTTCTGTAAAGATTTACTGCCTCCAAAACCCAAAGGGAATTGCTATGAGTCAGAATTGACTTGATGGCAGTGGGTTTTATGTACATCAGCTCATTTAATTCTCTAATACCCTCTAGGTGATGCCTATTTGACAGAGAAGGGCATTAGGGATGGAGTTGGATAGCCTGGCACATGCAACTCAGAAACTGGCTCTCCACTTCTGTGGCTGGCCCTGATTCTCTGTAATTGACCTTGGTTAGACTGATTAGGTTGTTAAAGTAACATCATGCTCTAGCCCGTAGCAGCCTAACCTACGGGAAAATACTATTAATAAAGTATTAATAAATCACAGCATAAATAGAAGAAAAAAGAATGTTTTCAGCTGCCAGGTCCAAAATCAATACTCAGTACACATCAACCAAAAGTATACAGACCACTGACTCACTTTGAGAAACTTTTTCTATAGAAATATTTACCCAGAGACCCAAGGATATATGAGCAAGGATGTTTGTGGAAGCACTATTATAGTAGCAGAGAACTGGAGAAAATGTATGTGGAAGAACACTTACCCCACCTTTCATGTTTTCTTCCTCCTATAAATTAACTATTAGTATAATTTCCCTGACCTCTCTTTACCAATTGCCTTAAGTTGATTCCAGCTCATGGTGACCCCACATGTGTCAGAGCAGAACTGTGCTCCATAGGGATTTCAGTGGCTGATTTTCCAGAACTAGCTCATCAGGACTTTCTTCCAAGGTGCCTCTGGGTAGATTCAAGCCTCCCACCTTTCCATTAGCAGCTGATTGTGCTAACTGCAGGGCTTCAAACCAATTCAAACTGGTTCAGTCAAAGCCAAGATAGCAAAAATCAGATGTGAATTTTAAAACTTTGAGTGAAACGAAATGATAACTGAAACAGGAAATTATGAGTCAAAGCCCTGGGATGGGAGACTTGGAAAGAGGCATAGTAAGCCCTTTCTGGAGCCTGATGCAGGAGATTAGATTATTGCCAGGACTGTGGAGATCAAGACACATTTTAAACAAGATAGTCAGCCACCATCATTAAACTGAGCGTCATTGTTTTTGACTCTGCCTGTCAAGAGATTTAGTTGTTATGCAATGCACACACTGCCCTTGTTTTCTAGGAGAAAGGTTAAGTTTCTAACACAGCATCAATCCATAATTTTTCCTGTTCTAGTTATTATTCCACTACACCAACATTTTACAAATTTGGGTCTGTTATGGTTTTACTTTGTCAACCATGATTGAATCAGGAAGCACCAATTCAAAGCCCTGGTTAACTGTTAGCACCACCCAGGGACTCAGACCTCTCTCTATGCCCTCATCAACCCCCTCAACACACACATACACCCAACTGATGTGTGATAAGGAATTGGTGTGGATAGTTCTGATCATTCCTTTTCCTGCTTTTTGACAGTATGTTGCCTACAGAGACTCTGTGACTCAATTACCCTGGCCCAGGATGTGGGTGGTAGTCAAGGCTCTGCCCAGCTATGGTTCAATACCATCAGTGACAGGGTGCTGGACTGTCTAATTCTGGGACTCAGTGTTAGAAAATCCCGTGACTCAGAATTATAAAGCATATTCTCCAAGAATGACTCTATCACTAATAAAAGTTATATTTAGCCCCATTTGTATTAATCTTATTTCCCAATTTGTTCAAGGTTTAGACTGGAAAGAAAAATATTTCCTGGGCCTCCTTAAGCTCTTAAGCCCCAACACCCTAAATGTGCATTAGAAGCCCAATTGGGGAAGGACATGCTACTGTCTAGAATTCAGTGTTTGCTGAATATTTTTTGTAGCAACTGAATGTATTGCTTATTGACTGGAAGAAATAAAAATAAAACACAGAAATGTAATCTGTGCTCTCTACAGAGCCTCATAATATCCAGTGAAAAAGCAATATCAACATTTGTTCTGGGCAATTCAAAAAATTTCTGGCCCTTGGCAAGACATGCCTTCTTAAAGGGACTCTGCCTTTCAAAGCATTGAGAAATGGGTCTAAAGGTCTTTATGTGAGGTCCTTGTACAAGTCATGGATGCAGGTAGTAGCTTTGAAAAGCTTGCCTGAGAAAACAATTTCATAATACGAGGGAAAGAAAAGTGATAGGGAACTAATGATACATTTAACACTCACTATGTGCTAAAGTTGTGTTATCATAGCTGATCCTCCAAGACTATATAATGGGAACTTGAGAATTAGGCAAGATAAACCCCCATTGCCAGAGCTAATGAGGTGTGGAGTTAGGATTTGAACCCAAGACTAGGTTCAACACATGCTCTTTGCTCTATACAAAGATTCCTCGTAATCATCAAGATTACTTCCTTTCCCTTGGAACTTCCAAAGTTCTTTTGCACACATCAACTCAAACAACTCTGTGATCCTCCAAACAACTTTGTGAGGTAGCAGTTAGGGTCCTGGCAATAGAAGATGGCACTTGCTCAAATGCCTTAAATGAAGACAGTGTAATGGAAGAACTATGTGCAGAGGTATAGGCAGGGTTAAAGGAGCCAACAGGGATGGTGAGGCTCCAGGAATTAGCAACAGTGGGCTGAAGAGGCAGAGAGAGGAAGCAATGTCCCCAGAATTGGAAAAGAGCTGCCCTTGGTTGTTGTTGTTGTTATGTGCCGTCGAGTCGGCCCCGACTCATAGCGACCCCTCCTTGGGTTTCCGAGGCAGTATCACTACGGAAGTAGGATTGCCCAACCTTCCTTCCGAGGAGTGGCTGGTGGGTTTGAACCGCCAGCCGTCTGGTTAGCAGGCAAGTGTCTTAGCCACTATGCTACCAGAGCTCAGGGGGCTCCAAAAATGCACTGCCATTGAGTCAATTCTGACTCATGGCAATGCTGTAGGACAGAGTAGAATTACTCCATAGGGTTTCCAA